CACACACACACACACACACACACACACAAAGCGTTATATTTTGTGCACACTCGTGTTTGAGTAGTTATTTCTTTTAACTTTTAAGAAATTAATATCAGCCGACCTAGAGTTTGAAATCAGATCAAAAAGCGGTTATAGGTTTGATTTCACTCGAGTGACATATTTCCATTAATAAAACTTTCAATCTCTAGGCCGGTAGATATTAATTTTCACTCGTTAGGGAAAATATAGTTTATAGACATGATATGCTGATGGTAATAATAGCCGTTTCTTATAAGGAAACATTCGGTATTCATTGACCGAGAAGCCAGTGCTACGTTCATTTGAAATTTATAAAATCTTTCTCTTAAAACATTTTTTAAGTCCAGTAGCTATTATTGCTCTTTTCAGTAGTGATTGGGGTTTCCTTCCTAATCTTCTGTTTGAAGTAGTGTGGAACGTCAACATATTGATTGAGTTATATGTGCCACTCAATTTAATGGTTGCTGTTATTGAAATCCTCAAATATTGTGGTTTCTTTTATTTGGAGAAGTATTTTTTAATGCTTGAAAACATTTTTAATCGTTGATCTAAGAAAGCGCTTCTATACGCTCACAGTTCAGATATTTCTGAACGAGTTTGGAGCCATGCATGACATCCATGTGAAAGTCTCGATCTGTTGAGGCTATTGAAAAATATAAGTTTTCAGGTTAATTTCTTGGTTTTGTAGTAGTTTGAGGTGTTGTGTGAAACTACCCTTATGGCAACTTATGTTCATTTTCCTTTTCTTTTGTATTAAATTAGTTATAACTGACCTATATACTGAGATGTTTGAAGTGACTAGTATTTAATAATTCGTCATCCTGATTTTTAGAAAGATTCCCATCACTGAATTCATTCCAATTCCAGATCTTAATTTCTTTTTTGGAATGGTCTATCATGAGTTTTATTTCTTAGAACACTTAGTAGAGGATGTTGATTTTTTTTATCAAGATCAATCTTATTCCAACTAAGAATACCTATATAATCGGCATAGCGCCTTCATCAACAGTACATTGTTCTTGGGAGGAAAAGCAGCACAAAGTTCGTTATTGTGCTCAAACGTTTAACTGGATGAAATCACTGGAAGTTGATCTGTTGGGACTACTAATTGGATAATAATTAAAATTCTTAGAAGAGTAGATTGAATAGCTGAGAGAAAGATAGGATAAGAAATGCGTTAATAATTATGTTTGCACAATAAAATAAATTCAAGAATGGTTCAAAAGAGAATCGAGCTCAGAACTCCTGAGATAAGATTCAGTAAAAATTGAGCAAAATTAAATTTTCCCCTACCTATCCACTTCCCTTCGATAAGAAGACGACATGATTAATGTGTTGTCCGAATTACCTGATCTTGAGAAATTAAATTCGGGGCTTGTTTATAGAATATCCACCCAAAACGCTGACAGCCTTCCATAAAAGAGTTGTCTAAATTCTCTTAAATGCCATGTGGTTTATGCGTAAATCTAAACCTCAGAGTTTGTCTATATTAATACTATCCACCAAAAACGCTATTATCCTTACAGAAAGAGAGTGACCGAAAATTTTTAAAGAAAAGAAAACCATGTGTTTAATGAAATATTCCCTAAGATTAGGGTAGTCGGAAATGGAAAATTAGATGTATCAAATCAAATGGGTTTATATATATATATATATATATATATATATATATATATATATATTATATATATATATATATATATGAATATATATATATATATATATATATATATATGAATTCTGGAAGATCACTAACCAATTAATGAACAGAGGTAAAGCATCTGTGCCCACAATTATAAATAGCCCTGAGGTCATATCTTCCTCGACAAATAAATCGAACCTCTTCGCCTCCATCTTTGCTTCTAACTCAACGTTTCCAAATTCTCACGTCTTACTAAACACTATCTCAGTAATATTACCATCGCAGCACGAGAAGTCTCTGGACTTATCAAAGGCCTTTAGCCTAAGAAAGCCACTGATCCAGACAAAATTCCAGTGGTTTTCTTTAAGAATATCAACCCGGAATTATCCCCAATCCTAGAAAAATTATTCTACTGCTTCCCAAGCCTGTGGAAAGTGCAAAGCGTATGCCGAGTTATCAAGAACGCCGGCGTGTGATCTTCCCTCCTTCCAGTACAGGCCCATCAGTTTTCACATTATCGTCAGCAAGTTTTTGAGGCCGTAGACAATAAGAACGTCGTCGAACACCTTGAACAAACTCTTCAGCGACGAGCAGTATGGGTTTCGGTTGTCTCGATCTACTGCCGACGTCATAACTACCATCACTCACAGAATCAGTGAGGCTCTTGACGATAAATGCACCTCGAGGACTATAGCTCTAGATATCTCAAAGGCCTTCGACAAGCTCTCCAGTTATGGAATCACCAGAAGAATCTTCTCGATCATAAAGTCCTTCCTAACAGGTAGATCCCTGAAGGTAGTTATCAATGGCCAGTTCTCCGGAGTAGAAGAAGTCAACCCAGGTATCCCCCAAGCCTCACTCTTCAGACCAACCTTCTTAAAATAACTACGTTTATGTTTCGGGTAACATGATAAAACTATCAAATAAAAAATGTCCTAACGTGAGATGGATATTTTTTTTAAATTGAGTCATGCATGGCTTACAACAGTCTAATCGTAAAGCACGTATTAAAGGTGTTTCTCATATTAAAAGAGAATACAGGTTCGATTAATGTCGAGAAGTCTATATATTACATGTTAATTTCACTTTAAAAAATAAAACAGAGATGGCTAATCAATCGCATTTACTGACCAAATATAAAGTTTATAGTAATAAGAAATAATGACAGATGCTACGGCATATCTGGAATTCCACCCGTTCCATTACATCTTTCCATTAGCAAAAGGAACAGTCCAACATGCAAATTACAAATTGGAGATACCGAAATCAAACAAGTACAACAATTTAAGTATATTGGTAGCGTTTTAACAGAGAACAGAAAATGTGACACTGAAATCCGAAGACGCACTGTGATGGTGAAAGATGCCTTATAAAATCTAAGCGAAGTATTAAGAAACAGAAAAACTTCGTTAGAAACAAAGAAAAGAGTACTGAACTGTTATGTAATATTAGTTCTGCTAAACAGGACAAATAAGCTTATACAGAACGATGCTGAGTATACCATGGAACGAACATTTGAGCAAGGACGAAGTTCTAAAGACAATGAAAACAAAAAGGCATCTTATATTTAACATCAGGAAGCGTTCTGAAATTTCTAGCGCTCATAACGAAGAGAGGAGGCTTGAAAAATTTGATACTCACGGAGCAAATTGAAGGCAACAGGAACAGAGGAAAACAACACATAACTTACCTGGCGTGCATGAGTGAATAGATGGCGAGGCAGGGTTTGGGAGAGACAGCAAAGACAACATTTATTAAGAGCTACAAAGGAATGGAAATTGTGGAGTGCCATGACGGCCAACGTCCTGAAGATACACGGCACATAAAAGATGGCTTTTGATGGCCAATATTAAATTTAAACGCTTGCCGTTGTGTTTCTTTTTACTTCGATTCTGGATCAGTTTGAAAAGAGTTCCACTAATAATGTTAAATGCTTGATTTGAAGGAGTTAAGCTGAATTTATAAAAATTATTAATGTTTATGTAAATGGGAAAAAAATAAAGAAATAGGTATTTACGTATTTTGTAGAATGTTGGTTTTTCCTATCTCTTGTATAACAATCTAACATTCCCAATTATATGGGACAGGATTAAAACATGCCTATTCACCGCGACCACTGTCACGCCGTCGTAGGTATCAAGTTATCTGTGACGTTTTTATGTTTTAATGTGTGTGGAAAAATAGATAAACAGTTTTATAATTAATTTCTATATACCTTGCTCTATGAGTCAGCTTTGTTTACTCACAACGTTTAGGCATTTGAATATTCCGGTCTTCTTTAGATATCTGTGGTCGAACTCAGTAAACTTTTAAGAATTTTGAATCTAACACTTTATTTAATCCACGTGAATAGATTGTTCTCATTCCATTTTCCATGTCAAGGCAATATTTCCTATCAGATATATATAACTATTTTCTTGGTAATTATTCTGATGAGATTACCTATCTTGTACCTCGACAACACTTAGTACTAGACTGGTAACTAAATGTCATCGTCTTACTGTTGAAATAGCTTGATGTAACTGTAAGTTATATTTTAATAGTTTCTGTTGTAGTCTCTTCCCTCTAATAAGGCTATTGTGGACTCTTCCACTTACTATAATGCAGTAGGAAAGTAAGCCTCGGGGGAATAGTGATATAGACTGAACGCTGGTCAACCGACACACACTCCCAAGTCGTATAACATACTTCTGTTGTATTTACTGTTCAATATAATATTTATCTGCAACCTCTTGTTTTCTTATATTTTCAACAGTTTCCATTCTCGCACTTCTCGTTTGTGGGACTCTTTTCCAGCTTTCTGCTTCCGTGTCACCTACAATCATCAAAAGTTTAAATACAACATCTATTGCCATCTTCTGTCTTCCTGAATCCTGTTCTTGTATTAATATTTTCACATCACAAGCGTTTTCTTATCTTTTTTTTCACTCAGAAACTCCTTTCGTCTTAGTGGAATTATTGCTTTGCTTAAGGGTGAAATGATTAAAAAAATACTTACTCGTATTATTCACCTTTATGTCACTTCCAACCCCAAAACATAGTCTTGTGGATTAAAACGGTTGTTAAAAAAATATTTGGTCCCCTGGGTGTTGTGTGTTTAATTCCTGGATCGAGTAGAAAGAGGGGCGTATGTAGCACGACTATATCGTGTGAAAGAGGTTAACTTGTTATATTCCCAATGCTTCAAACGTTGGCCTCTCTTGTGTCTACCTTTGTACTCAGTAACCTTTTTTGTAATTTCAAACCAAATCCTTTATACAATCCATTAATACGCCCCAGTCTTATTCATTTTTGTGTTGCTTGTTCGTTTCTTCCACTGAACCAAAATATTTGAGGCTTACGGCCGTATCACGTTGAAACACCGGTTCTCGTACGATCAACAAAGTTAAGCAACGTCGAGCCGGGTCAGCACTCAAGTGATTGACCGCTTGCGAATACCAGGTGCTGTAAGCCTGGATGTGCGGGTGGTGTAATGGATAACGGCTCGGAACTGGAAATCGTAGAGCCGAGTTTCAATTCCAGTAAGGTTCGTTATATTCACATACACGTAAATACCCTTGGAAAATGTATGACTCCACCTTTTCTCCTCCAGCTATCGGTTAATTAGTAGGACTTGTATCAGTAAATCATTATTATCAAAAATCTTCTTACAATCTAAAAATATTTTCTATATTTAAATAACCTGCAAAAGGTTGATAAGCCATAAAAAACAAAATTTGGGCGGTACACCTATAAACTTATATGACCAGCATAGATACTCACTAATGATCCGAGCCTGCTTTTATGCAGATTATTAATACACGGTAGAAAGAGTGTAGGACCGAGGAGAAAAACCTGATTGATCTTATGGGTTTCCGATCACTGGCCTTTGGCAATTATTTTCAGGAAGAACTTGGATAACTGAGAAAGCCCTTTTACAAATTACATAACTGGCGAGTTAATGTAGCGGCCTCCGTATCAATACTTTGCCTAAGTCCACTGATATGTTTAGGGCAATAGATGTTGTGATGTACTGAATATATTGCAGTAACATTCCTCTATATTACACTTTTATACTTGAATAATTGGTTAAATTGAAGCAAACTTGAAAGTAAATGTTATAAAGGCCGAATTAGTGATGCTCAGTGATCAAAACCCACTTACAAAATAATTCAGGTTATGGCATTGGCATATTTTAGTAGTCTCGTTAATGCAAATGCTCATACAATATCATCATCACCATCACCATCATCATCATCATCATCATCATCATCATCATCATCATGCCCGAGTGTGGCCGTATGGTCACTCATTATATCACATGACCGAATGCGGTTGTATGGTCGCTGTGCAACAGCACACAAGACTAGTTCATTCCACATATTTAGATTGAATGCTGGAGAGGTATTCATTCATGCGTAGCATGCTTTGAGCAAGTATGCCCGGTGGAGCTTGTCTCGCTCCAGGTCAGACCACCATCGATGTTCTCCAACTTGAAGGCTCGTCTTGTTCACGGACACGTGGCCGTCGATTCCATCAGAGGAACCCTGTGTGTTGGCCGTTGACTTCAATCTGGGTAATCCTCCATTCAGAAATGCCGTGTCATTACCACACTAGCTGTATACATAATTATGGAGTCTACCCCCATTGTGCTAGATGGCTGTTAACACTACAAGAAGATTAATTTTCCCTTTGGGAGGCCTTGTTTTAATCCTACTGAGTGTTTGGCTACCAGAAAACCCCGGTTTAGTCGCCGATGACCCGACCATACAGCAGCTAGACATGGGTTACATGGCACCAGTGGCACTCATAGAGTGACCTTACATAAAAATAAAAACATCAATATTTTTCAGCAGTAGTAAATAACTGGTCTCCGAAATTATCTATTTAAGATATTTTATGTTTAACATTCTTTTTATAGATACAAATATTTAAGTAAATGCTCTGTTTATAATAAACAGTATTAAATAACATTTACCGGCCTGAATGTACGAGAAATTTTCATAGAAAATATTCGTCCTCCGACAAGATTCGAACCTGTATCCTATCCTATCTATCTTAGTCATTTCATATTTACGGCATATTCAGAAAGTAATGTAAAACTAGAGACAGGAAAGGAAAAGTGTAAGACCATATGCTTCATCCGCGTTGTTTACTGACAGGGGCAAACTGACAACTTGAATAGTTGCAACAAAAGCAACTAATTAAGATGCAGGAAAAGTTAGTCATTCTTTGATAAATTAGAATATATCCGTAACCAATAAATTTAATATTTGTTACATTTGAACAGATTTTCAGGTCCATTTACAAAAATAAGAAATTACTTTCTCAATCACCTAACCTTGCCTAATGAATGACTGAACTTCTTTTAAGGTTAATAATGGATATGGAGATATTATCTTGTTTGAGTAAGTAATGTTTATGGGAGAGTCCTGTTCTTCATGAGACGTTTCCGCTCAGGACGTAGGCGATCATGACTCTCCACAGTTTCCTGTCTTTAGAGCTCATAATAAAATTTCGTCTTTTCGTTATTTCTCCTAAACTCTGTTAAGCTCATCAAGTATATTATACGCTGTTATCCTCTGTCCCACTTGCCCTCAATCTAGCCTGTGAATATCAGATTTTCCAGGCAACCCCTTCCTTATTATGCGCACCAGAAATTTCAACTGTCTCTTCATGATGTTAGATATAATGTTCCTTTTTGTTTATATTTCCTCTAAAACCTCGTCGTTGCTTATATGTTCGGTCCATGGTATTCTCATCATCCTTCTGTAGAACCACATTTCTGTTTCTTCAAGTCTCTTCTTCATCTTTTCGTCCAGCATTTACTGCTATATAGGAGGACATATATCATGTAGCAGTTCAGTAATCTTTGTTTCTAACGAAGTTTTTCTTTCTCTTAATACTCTGCTTAGCGTTTGGATTGCATCTTTGGCCCTCCGTCTTCAGATTTCAGTTAGGTTTTCCGGTACATAGCCCACTGTTGTAGATTTCATTTATTTATTTATTTTTTGTAATCTTCTCTATGCCGAAATCATCTAAGGCTGTTGGCATCTCTGTTACAATTCCGTGCGGCCCTGTTGCTTTGTTTCTGTTCAATTTGGCCAGTGCAGCTTCTTCGGTTTTTAATATTTCCGGTCCGTCGAGATTTCTGTGTATTATTAGTTGTTCTCTTTCATCGTGGAAAAGTTATGCGATATATTCGTTCCAAGTATCTTTTCTTTCCCTAATATCATCGTTCCGTCCTTGGATCTTATGCGTCCTGTTGAGAAGCATGTCTTTTGTCCTGTTAGTTCTCTTATGCTTTTATGCATATCTGCTTTATCTGTGATATTCATTCTTTTTATTTCTGTACATTTTTCGTTGAGTCAGTTCTCTTCAGTCTGTCTGCATTTGTTCCTTATTTCTTTGTGTAGAGTTCTATACTCCGTTCCGTGACTTGGAATTGTATTTTGTCTCCTTTTCATCATTTCTAGAACCTCATCTGTCATCCATTCATTTTCTTCATCTATTTTCCTTTGGGATGATCTCGATGTCACTAAAATTCTCTTAGTGTGTCCGACTTTGAATTTCCATTTGCATTTCGTCTCCTGTATCTGCTTTTCACATTGCCCATATATATTTCGGTCAGATTCGAGTCGTTCAAGAGTCTGTCATATTGCAATTTGGGTGCTGCCATTCTTCAAATCCCGTAGTTTTATTCTGAGTTTACTGGAAGGTGATCGCTTCCACAGTCAGAACTTGGATAATTTTTGCAGTGTACAACTGCATTCCTGAGTTTCTTGTTGAGAGTTATCGAGTCGATTTGGTTTTTCGTTTCTCTTCCAGGGTTTCTCCATGTCCATATTCGTCTTGGGTGTTGAAATCAGGTGTTGGCTAGTATCTATTGGACCCATTATTTTCCACGTTCATTACGTGTTCTTAATCCGAATTTGCCAACTATTTTACCATTCCTTTCATTGCCTACTTTTGCATTCAGGTCTCCCAGATTTATACTGACCTACTATCTACTCTCTGAAATATTCTCGTAAGCCAACGACGAAATATTTTGGCAAGATATCCAGCGATGATATTGAGCCCAAAAAAAACCACTGTTAGTAAGAATAGTTTTTGAACTGAGCTACATTTCAGATGCATTTGGCGTAAATAACTTCAGTGCGAGAATTACCAAACTTTTGGTTGCGGCACGTGATAAAAATTATTATAGACTCAACTAACTGACCCTTAATCACCGAAGAGGCGAAACATAACATCTCCCTCGTTGCTTACGACTCCCAGGACCATCACAGTTGTCGGAAACTTCATGTGTATGACCAGTGGAATTTTCCTTGGATTCCTACATGTATAACCATCTACCATTCCTTTTGTTGACCTTTTAGTCCCAATCAAAGTTTTTCTCATCAGATAGAAACCAAAGCATTCCACTCTCTTGGAGTATCAACTTGCACAACCAGGGCTTTGCGCGGATCAGACAGTTATCTTTTGTCTTTGTAGACATTAATTGGCGACTCCACATCACATATAACTTGTATCGAAGGTCGTCATGCACAATTTTTCCATTAGAATGGCTTGAAACCTAGAGATCAATGGCGATAATTATTTTTTTCTATATGCAAATACCTAAATATTGTCTTTGAAATTCACTTAAAAAACGTTGCGAAATATTTTTCTATCTAATATACATACACTCGCACACTATACTAAAGAGGATGCAAAAGTAGCTATACAGTAATAAACGTATTGTTCTGATGAAAAATATCAATAATAAAATAAAAATATATATATATATATATATATATATATATATATATACATACATATATATATATATATATATATATATATATATATATATATATATATATATATATATATATACATATATATATATATATATATATATATATATATATCTTAACATTTACATTCCACCATTTACACTGATACGACGTTCAAAGATCAAGGTCAAAGGTCTGTACTACATTGTTTTTTTTTTTTTTGGTTGGTGTATAAATGCCTTCACTTTCTGCGTAGCATTCATGAATGGGGTACTTTGTATGATATTAAGAAAACAATCCATAAAACGTACAAAATAAATAATCATTTCTTTTAAACTTCAATGACTGTTAGCTTTATTGGCAATATTAAGAACATTAAAGAAATGGAAAAAATGAATGAGAGATATAACCAGAATTAGAAAGAGATGTAGCATAAAATTTAATAAGTCCAAGATTACAGGGATTATGTACACTGTTAGAAGGAGGAAGTAAAATGTAAACAGTATTAAGAGAATAATTAAGTAAAATAGGACAAAGAGTGGAAGCCTTTTTAATATTGCAGTCTCCAGAACAGTGGCTTTGAATTCATTGCGTTTCCAACCACCCTTACCTTTGAAATCATTTATAATTGAACTGATTTGGTTGCTTGAGTAGCCAACCACAGCAGTGAAAAGTAAGATTCGTATTAGAAAGA